CCCGCCGGGCTCCCATCGCCCCCACGGAGGAGCAGCTGCGGCAGGAGCCCTGGTACCACGGCCGCATGAGCCGTCGGGCTGCGGAGAAACTGCTGCGCACTGACGGGGACTTCCTGGTTCGAGACAGCGTCACCAACCCCGGGCAGTACGTGCTGACCGGCATGCACCTCGGGCAGCCCAAGCACCTGCTGCTGGTGGACCCCGAGGGCGTGGTAAGGCGGTGCGGGGAGCCTCGGAGGGGGCGGGGCGGGGCCGAGGCGGGGCCTGAGTCAGAAGTAGGGATTGGAGAGGGACCCGGGGTGGGCGGAGCTGAGTAAGGGGCGGGGTCCGGGAGCCTGCAGTGGGGTTTTGGTGAGCAGGGTCAGCAGTTCGAAATCACCTGCTCCACTACGGGAGAGCAAACGCGTCTCGGGAAAACCCACAGGGGCAGTTCTACCCTGTCCTACGGGTCGCCGTGAGTTGGAATGGACTGGATGGCAGTGAGGGGTTGGACAAAGGTGCTGGCTGCGTGCAGGGGGCGGGGTCTTGGAAAGCTGGGGCGGGGCCTCAGCCAGGAGCGTGACCAGGGAGTGGTGGAGCTGGATGCAGGGGGCGGGGCCTGAGAGGCCTGATGGGAGGCCTTGGGCGGAGCCTGGACTTGGTACTAGCTGGGCACAGGGGGTGGGGCCAGGGGGCGTGGCCCGGGACAGTTGGAGGCTGGATAAGGCACACCCACAGGCCCCTCTTGTGGAATCGGGGTTTGGGGAATGGCTTGGCATGAGCAGGAGACCTCATCCTTCATGCACTCAGCGACCCAGGGTCCACCCGCTGACCCTTACTCTCTGCGACTTGTTCCTGTGGCCTGGGCGCCTGGACATTCTTTCAGCGTTCCCCAGCCCCCCCCCCCCACGTGTCCCGCAGTGGCTAAGGTAGGGGGTGCTGACCCAGCCTCTGCCCAGCGCGGAACAGCCCTTTACGTTCAACCCAGCATTCCCCAGACAACAAAGCCCCAGGGGCGACAGATTCAGACACTAGTGGTGCTTCAAACCCACTGGCCTCCCAGCTGGAGAGAGACGGCGCTGACCTTCAAGCCTCACGTCTCGGAGCAGCTGTTCCAGGGAGCAGCTGCGCTCTGTCCTGTAGGGTCACTGCGATTCAGAAGAGATGGCAGTGGGTTTGGGCATTTTTCTTCCTGTTTTGCCATCACAAGGTATTTCGCAGTTTTCAGAACTTAAAAAAGCTGCCAGTGGGTCAAAGTCTTTGGGGTTTCCAAAACCATTCCGATGATCTCATGATATAATTTTGCAAGAAGACCTATGGCTTTTTTAATTTCAAATACCTTCTTGGAAGCACCTACATGGTGACTCTTAACCTGGACTTCCCCAGATGGAACACACTGGAATCAGACTGACTATACTTGTGGAAAGACACAATGGAGACGGGCAATACCAGCAGCTAAAACCAGGCCGGGCGGGGGCTGACTGTGGGGCAGCCCATCAACCTCACACCCGCAAGGTCAGGTTGAAGTGGAAGAAAAGTGAAACTAGTCCGGAAGAGCCACAATACAACCTTGCGTCCATGGCACCCGAACTTTGAGAATGTCTCCAGGGCAGCCTTGCGGCCTTGAACCCTGATGACAGACGACCCGGGACTGTGGGAGGACATCAAGAACGTCGTCCGAGAGGAAAGCAGAAGGTCATTAAAAGGACGGGGAAAAAGAAAAGGCCAAAGCGGATGTCAGAGGAGACTCTGAAACTTGCTCTTGAACTTAGAGTCGTGAAGATGAAGCGAAGAAGTGCTGAAAGGAAAAGAGCCAAACAGAACATGTCAAAAGGCAGCTCAAGAAGAGAGAGTAAGGTCTGCTCATGAAATGTGCAGAGGTTTTCTGGAGTCTGAAAACCGCAGGGAAGCACTTCCTTGGCACAGCTCAAGCTGAAGGACGTGAAGGACAGCTTTAAGCCTTCCGTTGCAACAGCCAGTGGTTCTGTGGCCTAGGAAAGCAGCCTTCAGCGTGGACTGCGAGCCAATGTAAGGAAGACCCAGATCCGCACAACGGCACCTAGAGGTAACAGGGCGATCAATGGAGGAGAAGTTGAAGTTGTCATGGATGCTTGTCTTTCTCGGAGTCGCAATCGATGCTTGCAGTCAGGAGATCAAAAGACCTGTTGCCTTAGGTGAATCTGCTGCACAAGAGCTTCCCGGAGTATCGACAACCAAGGCTGTTCCGAGCTGCTGCGTTTTACATTCCCTCGTGTGCACGTGAAAGGTGAGCCTTTACTAAAGAGGACCAAAGGAGAACTGCTGCGTTTGAATTGTGGTGCTAGAGAAGAAGGAGGGGCGTGCCCCGGGCTGCTCAAAGGACAAACCCAGCTGTCTTGCACGTAGCTTGGCCAGAGTGCTTCTTAGAGGCAAGGACGGAGAGACTTCGTCTTACATACGTTGGGCATGTTGTCGGGAGAGACCAGTCCCTGGAGGACATCGTGCTTGGTCAAGTGGAGGGGCAGGGAAAAGAGGAGGCCCTCAAGGTGATGGGTGGACCCAGTGGCTTCAACAGTGGGCACAGGAACCATTGCGAGGGTGGCAAAGCATCGTAAAGTGCCTCCTTATGTTGTGCGGAGGGGCTCTGTGAGCCAGGGCTGACTTGATGGCACCTAAAAATAGCATGGGCACAATGTTGAAGACGCAGAAGCGTCACAAGAACAGAGAGGGAATATACAGAGTTACCGCACCCCATTTCCAGGGGTAGCATGTGCTCAATAACCCATGGTATTAAAACAAGGCTCCAGACCTTGGCGGGGTACCAGTGGAAGCACTTCAAGAAACCGATGCTGTGCTGGAAGCAGGCTTTCACCTACGCCAAGAAGTCTGGAAGACTGGCCAGCTCTCTGGAAGAAATCCACATCAGTGCCCACTCCAAAGAAGAGTGACCCAGCAGAATATGGAAACTGTCAAGCTATCATTCATAGCTCATGCAAACAAAGTTTTGCAGACGAAAATTCAATCATGGCTGCAGCTGGACATGGACAGGCAGAAATTCAAGCCAGATTCAGAAGAGGACAGGACACGAGGGAATCACTGTTGAGGACAGATGGATCTTGGCCGAAAGCGGAGTATTAGAAAGATGCTGACGTGTGCTCTATTGACTGTGTTTGGCCATGTAGACTAGAGAAACAACCCCATCTATGTGTAAGAAAGGGCTCGGCATCAAGAAGTGGTTGTGTGTTGACTAGAAGAACAAATCCAGTGACACTCATATATGTGTGAGAAAGAGCTTCATATCAAGAAGCTCTCTATATCAGGAAAGCATCCCATGCAAGTCCATAAATCTGATATTAGCCCACAAGTCCCTCTTCAGACTCACACAGCTACATGCAGTGATGCAGAACGCAGGAAGATCATAGGCCGGGGATGGGGGGGTGGGGGTGGGGTGCAAGGTCCTGAGGATTCCACGGCACAGTTCATCACAGGCTCTGGCAAGTCTGTCTCAGAGTGGCTATCAGAGAGAGACACACAGAGAGAGAGAGAGAGACAGAGAGAGAGAGAGAGAGAGAGAGAGACCTCCAGAGAACCATTTATCTTTGTCTCACTTCCAAAGAAGGTAATCGAGCTGTGACCTGATTGACAGGCTAAACCACCCATATCTTCTTATAGATGCCACGTTGGCACACAAAAAATCCTAATTATCACATATATCAAGAAGATATCCCAGCCTAGCCCGATCAGGTCCATCAATCCGATGCTCGTCCATCAACCCCTTTTCATACGCACCCAGCTGCAGGCTGGTGACGCAGAACGGTGGACCAGGGAGTTGGGAGTTCACGGGCTGGTGGATGCAGAGCTCTGTGAGCCCAAAGTCAGTGTACACATGGCAGGGTGCCGCCAGCTCTTAGGGCCTGTAGCCGAGTCCCGGCAAGCAGGAAGGTGAAGGGACTAGGGTGTGTGTGTGTGTGTGTGGGGGGG